TAACCTTTTAATCACAGGAGTTTTAATGTAGATGTTTCTGTGCACAAAGAGCTATGAATCTGTCCGGGATGACTTGTTTGATATTATGGCGGGCTAATGAAATTTCAAAGTTAACATTCCCCAAATAAAATGGAAAGAAGACACAGGGAGAAAAGGAGTGGATTTAAAATTAGAGAATCTTTGTGGCTTATGGGTTCCAGGTTATTTGGAATGGAATGAAAGTTAATGCTACATCCTTTTTTCCATCCTGCCAGCCAGTGTCTGATCCAAGAATGTCTCTTATTTAAAGGGCAGGGCTCCCTCCACTGTTCTTAAATAAAGGCTTTCACTGTCTGAGATCAAATCCTCCCTGATTTTCACAGTAACATTGTAAGACTGCATGAAGAGAATTGTAAATGAAAAGAAGTTTTACATATGATTCCCCTATCATAAGCCTGTTCAAGTCATATGGTTTGATTTACATTTATGCAAATATCAGGGAATAGAGTAAAATTACCGAAGGAGGAAAGGACCATGGCATGTCACAAACAAGATGTGCCTATTTGTATTTATGTTTGCTAATGAAGTTCAGCCAGGACTTCCTCTTTGATTTTGATGTCTCTGTCTGCCATTCCACTCTATGCATTGTAATTAAACTACTTGCCACACACATACAAGAGGACACCAAGAAAGGCAGACTTCAAGTTTTAAAACTGCTGTTCTGTAACTTGCTTATACAGGACCTATAATTCAGGATTTATCATCTTTAAGTGATACAACAGACTTGTGGTATGACATTGTGCCTTAGCTTTAATGTAAGCAGAACTGCAGACTTAAACCCATGGAGGATTTGGCCCAATAAAGTTCAACGTCTAGGAAGCCCGCTGGAGATATTTTACCCTAGACTTTATAAATTCTGTCCCAGATAAGAATTAAACATCAGCCCACTCAAAAATCACAGATGTTCCTTTCTCTTTCCGAAATTACTCTTTCCCATCATGCCACAGCTGTGAAATTATGTACTAGTGTAAATTGTTGACTGGAAACCATTTCTAGCTATGGTGCCTGCTCAGAAGTTTTAGTTTCTAACCTGATACATTACCTAATTGAGGAGTACTCACATCTTCATGTTTGGCTGGGACTTGTTTCTGTAGCTCACAGCTTCAGTATGTCTTGTTAATAAACACATAATTATCTGCCCCTATTGGTCCTTCAGTTAACTGTTTCATTTCATGTGACCTACTGTGGGGACAGGAGTGTTGCTGTCCTCTTCGTGGAGCGGTTCTTTGTCATCCTTCATGACACACTGCCTCAGGCTACCGCTACAGGAGAGACATGGGATCAAAGAAGAGAGTAGAAAATGGATGATCTTTCAGGAAATTTGAGGAGTTACTTGACCAAGGCCTCTTGTTGCAAGTTAAGCTGTTAGTTCTCTCTTCTTTCACCAGTCTAAAGCCAAAACATGATCTTGCTTTTGAGTGACTGACAGCAGTGAACACTGCTCATCTTTTCTGCTTCATTGTACCTCCTTTCAGACAGCTGGGAAAAAACTACCTTCATCTATTAAATAATGATAGCATTCTCAGAGAAGATCTTTGTGTCAGAATCCAATGTGCTTTGATACCTTGAAGGAGCAACATTTTCAAGGTAGGGTTCCTATACTGTAAGCAAATAGAGGATGCCTGAGAAGCCATGAGAAGGTTCTTCACATGGTGCCTAGATGGGCTGGGGTCAGGACTGGAAAACAAAGGACTAAGCAGCCAAATTACCATGTCTCTGCCCTAAATGGGAGCAAGTGGCAAGAGTGGACTGGGCACGATGAAGGTCATGTTTCTACTTTCACTTTGGTCCAGCCTGCTTAGCCTCTGGTTGTGGATAGCAGCAATCTGTCCTATCACCTTTGACAAGGTCAGAGAAGGGAATGCAAAATCTTGTCATACGATAGCAAGATGCAAGAACAGTTTCTGTGAGAGCTAGATTGGCCCAATAAGGTTATATCAACTTCTCAGAGCATGGAATCCATTCTGGGAAGGTGAACTGTGTAATTTGGGCCAACCTAGGTGGTTTCCCATGTCTAAAAGGTGGTCCCTTGAACACCTGTGCACATAGTGGGTACAGTAACAGGCTCACGGACCTTCAACCACGGCAAAGAGTCAGCCCACAGCAGGAAAAATCAAAGCACAGGCTGGTAGACAGTAAATATGGAGAGAGAGCAACACAAAAAATTTGGATGCAGCAGACGCTTTTCCAAAAAGGTCTCCAGGAGGGACTGTGGGCTTATGTTATCTCCTGACACTGGGCTGTAACAAGATGTATCCAGCAAAATGGATACAGCTATGGCTTACCATTGTAATCCCACATCAAGAGTCTGCATCATCTTTTATCTGTAGTTCTGAGCCAAATAATCGTATTTTTTAAAAGAAATCAGATATTGCCGAAGTGGCATAAACGATTCAAAAGTGTCATCCAAACCCTTTACATTATATCAAATAACATTAAATGACTGCCACATACGTATAAACTCTCTCTTGCAAGGGCACATACGCATGCAAGTTTTATAAAAAACATCTTGCTGTTTCTCTTCACAATTCTTGGCATGTAAAGATACGTCTTTTAGTATCACAAATTCAGCTGTATATGTCTTAAAGATATATGGCATAACTCAGAACTGTGTCTTGACTGTAAAATAGTTTTGCTATGCATAAAAGCATTTCAGAGGTTAACCTCTATTATCTAGTAATGTATCAAAATAGGAATGAAGTGTTATCTTGTTATGGAATGGGATGAATCAAACTCCCTCCTCTGAGATACCAATTTTTCAAAACAGTTACCTTTAAGCTGAGGTTGAAGGTAAAGATTGTTTCTGGGTAAAATGCTTCATTTTATGGCTAAAATCCATAATAAAATATGCATATATCAGAATCACTTTCTCTGGCTCGGGAAGGAAAAAATGTGTTGTTTTCATTATTGCTGAACTTCAAAATGGTTTAAGGAATTTTGTTGGTCCTTTCCAAAGAAACTGAACTTTCAGGCAGAGATTAAAGCAGAGGAAATTTCAGCCCAAGGGCAAATGTTTCAGAAAGTTTGAAGTATATGAAACAAGGAGTTAAGTAGGAAATAGTTTTCAATCCTAACTATAGCCACACTAGTTATAATATATTGCTAAATATAGACCAGTGGGTGTGTCCAACTTTCTGAAGGTGTTATCCTCTCTGCTCTGAAACTTGCTTCTAAAATGACCTTTTCAGGGGTATAACTAACCGTATAATATTGCCTATGCTGGAAAATGTTAAACTTCATTATTTCCCAGGTGAGCTCAGCCAAGCCCAACTTTGCTTTGCAACCAAAATTCCTTTCACAAAATTCAACCTTTCATCTTTCATGTGGATCCAACTTTATATTCAGGTTCATTTATCTTCAAGCAAACTGCACAATAGCCCTGAATATTTTTTGTTTAGGTGTTAAAGGTTGTCACTTGGGTTATAAAGCTCTGTAAAAATATTGGGGTCAAGGAGCTAACAACATTACTTTTGCGTTGACTTCAAAATGCCAGCCATAATGGTTTGGGCAAGCTGCAGATCCAAACTCCCTTGGACTTGCTGCTTGTGGTTGTGGGAATATATTGGATCCTTTCAAAATTATTGGCTAGTCTGTTTTTGTGCATTTCATGTTTGGGTATAGAGTCTTTGGATTTATTTTTTGTTTTGTTTGCGGTGATACTGTCATGTCTGATGACTGGCTCTATATCCCAGAGCTAATATTCTGCTCTTTGACTTTAATGCCATATGCTGCTAGATCTCTATATCAAAGTATGGTGTTAATGTAAAGGATTCTGTAACGAACATCTCATACATATTTCCTTTTGCATACTCTGTGCCTGTAAATGTCTCTCTGAATACATGCTTGCTGTTTTTGAAATGATTTCCTTACAGCTCAGGATGAATACTATTTATACACAAAGTTGTTTGAGGTTATCCTTTGCTCTTAATGATACTTTCTAATTCTAGTTTAAGAGAGAAATTGAT